TCATTATCATCTATGTTAATTTATATTTTATTATAATTCATGGTGACACAATGCTAAAATGACCTGGTTTGTTATTATATATATATATATTTTTGAGATGGAGTTTCGCTCTTGTGGCCCAGGCTAGAGTGTAGTGGCACGATCTCGGCTCACTGCAACCTCCACCTCTCGGGTTCAAGTGATTCTCCTGCCTCAGCTTTCTGAGTAACTTGGATTATAGGCATCTGCCACCATGTCCAGTTAATTTTTGTATTTTTAGTAGAGACGGGGTTTCGCCATGTTGCCAGGCTGGGTGTAGCGGCTCATGCCTGCAATTCCAGCACTTTGGGAGCCCGAGGCAGGCGGATTACCTGAGTTCAGGACTTCGAGACCAGCCTGGCAACATGGCACAGTGGCTGGCACCTGCAATCCCAGCACTTTGGAAGGCCAAAGTGGTTGCGAGCCACTGCACCAGGCCTGCCATAATACTTTAAGTTCAATTCAAATTCAATGGAGCAAGTATTTAAGGCCCAACTCTATAACAGACACCATCTAGGGGTTTGGATGAATGGGAACAAGTCCTGCCCTCTAGGAGCCTTCAGTTCATTGAGGAAAAAGACTTGGAGAGAAAGATTTGCCAGGGAGTGGAGAGAAAAACGGCACTGATGCCCCATCCTGAAATTGAGGAGATATAATCACAGGGAAGACATTTGACTTAGCTCATAGAAATGTAGAGGATTTGAGTAAGAGTGTGGAAAGGGAACAGTATTTCAGGGCTGAGACAGTGGCCTTGCAGTTCTAAGCTTTGGTTTGCAGAGCAGCAGCTTTGGCATCACCTGGGAGCTTGTTGGAAATGCAGATGCTCAGGCCCCAGGGCACACTTTCCAGACCAAATCAGAATTTACATTTTAGCAAGACCCCCAGGTGATTTGTAGATGCTTTAAAATTTGAGATGCACGGGGCTAGAACACAGAGGATGAAAAGTCGGGGCCTGTTGGAAGATGATAACCTGGGCCAATGTGGTTGGAGCACAGACTCCCAGGCAGGGTGCAAGGAGGAGGCTGGAGAAGCAGAGGGAGAAAATGCTGCAGTGGAATCCAAGTAGGATTCTTCAAACTAGGTGGGAGTGAACTCTAGGTAATCAATGCTTTCTCCTGGAAACATTAACCGCTTCCTCCTCTGATTGATGATTGTATTTTTCTTTGGTTGTACTTGCTGCCCGTTACAATGATTGATCTATGTGTCTGCCTTCCTCCCTCCTCCCACTTTCCCCTGACCCCACCGTTGATATTTTAAAACAAACCTATTTGTCTTTGCATCTTTTGAACCTGGTGCTCAAGAAATAACCGAACTCAACTGAGTTGTGACTATGAACCACTGAGTCACACCGTAGCCTATCCTCACATTTATAATTCAGTATTGTAGACCAGACAGAGTTGTCAATCACGCATTAATTCACTTGTTCAACAACTGTTCATGGCATGCTAGGCATTTTCTACCTTCGCCGTCTGGTTCCTGAGAATGTCTCCCTGCCAACACCTCTCAGCACCCTGGTCCCTCAGACCATCCGACCACTCTGAACAAAGCACATGAGTACAGATCCCATCAGCAGCAACAAGCTCTGCTTACCAAGCACCTTCTCAATAGAAAATGAGATTTCTGCTTCCACTGACACATAAAAAGATTACTAGCATTAATGGCAGAAGATGCCAGTGCCCATGGATGATGGAGACAGCACTAGCTGTACTTAGTAAGAGCTAAAATCCTCAGAAAAATCTTTCTAAGTTCTGGGCCAGGACAGAGGAAGAATGGTATTCAAGCAACAAGAAGGGCAAGGGCAGCCAGGAGTGGTGGCTTACGCCTGTAATCTCAGCACCTTGGGAGGCCAAGGCAGGTGGATCACAAGGTCAGGAGATCCGGAACATCTTGGTCAACATGATGAAACCCCGTCTCTACTAAAAACACAAAAATTAGCAAAGCATGGTGGCATGCGCCTGTAGTCCCAGCTACTCTGGAGGCTGAGGCAAGATAATTGGTTGAACCAGGGAGGCAGAGGTTGCAGTGAGCCGAGATAGCGCCACTGCACTCCAGCCTTGGTGACAAGAGTGAAACTCTGTCTCAAAAAAAAAAAAAAAAAAACTGGGCAAGGGCATTCCAGGAACATAGAATGGGAATAAATATAAAATCCAAGATAATGTTTAGGGGAGTGTGGGAAGAGGGATCAGAGCACACAGATCTTCAGATATATTAAAAAAGGTCTAGTCTTAATCTAGATAGTGTTTTTTATAGTAGACTTTAACCTGAACCTATATTTTATATTTCTCCTTTATATATATGGTATATTCTATATATTTCTAAAAATAAAATATAAATAAGGCAGAAAAAGAAAATGAAGCAGCAGGAATGCTTTGTAACAAGCTAGTTAACCTGGCCTGTGACAGATGCTGAAGAAAGTTTTTTTTTTTAATTGAGTCCACATTTATTTATTTATTTATGCTTTTGAAACAGAGTCTCGCTCTGTTGCAGTGATGGCGTGATCATGCTCACTCCAACCTCAACCTTCTAGGCTCAAGCAATCTTGATCCTCCCACCTTAGCCTCCCGAGTAGCTGGGACTACAGGTGCACACCGCCACACCCAGCTAATTTTTGTATTTTTTGTAGAGACAGGGTTTTGCCACATTGCCCAGGCTGGTCTTGAACTTCTGGGCTCAAGTAACTTACCTACTGTGGCCTCCCAAAATGCTGGGATTATAGGCATGAGCCACTGTGGTTGGCCAGTCCATGTTAAAGCGATTGCTTTAGGTGGGTTTAGAGAGACCAGATGACAATGGGTCTTGAATGCCCAGCTAAGGAAGTTGGACTTAATACTGTAGGCAATGGGTAGACTTTGAAAGTGCTGAGCGGGGAAGTTATGTGTGTAGAGTGGCAGTTTAGAAAGCTAAATCTAGCTGTAATATAAAAGACATACTGAAGGGTAAGAGCAGAAGGCAGTGAACTCCTTTAGCCATTGCAACACTCTAATGGAAGATGGTAGAGACCCAGTCAAGGTGACTATGAACCAGGGGGGAAATGATTAACTGGAAAATCAAAATGCAGAGGATTAAGCCAATACATCTCCAAATTCTGGTGACACTTTCTCCCTAATTACCTCTAACACTCAACTACATTCCATCTCTTCTTCATATACTCTAATCTAGACAACTATAGCATCTACCTAAAGCGTGTTATGCTCTCTACCCTCCAGTTCTTCCCCCAAATGCTGCCAGCTTGACCTTTTAAAAACAATAATAAAAATACAGATATTCTCTAGCTTGAAAGTCTACAATGGCTCTATTAGTATTACCTATAACACAATGTAGACTCTAACCCAGCCTCAAGTGCTTCGGCCCTGCCTGTCTCCATTTCCAGCTCATGCTATTGTTTCTCCTGCTCTCTGAGTTCAAGCAACATTGTTCCAGAAAATTGCTCTAATTTTATGGAGCATATTATGCTTTTTCCAAAATAGAATCTTGTTCTAAACTAGTTCCCCCCTTTAAAATGCTCCCTTCTCCAACTTTTGCCAGGATAACATCTCATTCTTTTCATTGTGGGTTATAATGCAGGTGAGTGTAATCTTAGTCCCCCTGTAAGCGTGTAAATCTGCAATATTTTAAAGGTCACTAAATAATTTGGAAATTGAATGATGCTAATATTTCTTAAACAAAGAATTCTTTTTTGAATTACTATGTTTTGTTACTGAAATTCAAACCACATTTGTTTAACTTCTTTTTTTAAATTGTAGTTTTATTTACCACTTCAACTATATTTAGGTAAATAGTTTATGGGCATAAAGTACATTTAAATGCTGAGAAATTATCATCTAACTCCAGAGCTCTTTTCTTTTCCCAAACTGAAATGCTGTATCCACTAAACACTAACCCCCCATTTCTCCTCTCCCGAGCCCAGCCTCTATGAATTTGGCCACTCTAGGTATCTCATATAAGTGGAATCATGCAGTATTTGCTCTTTTATGATTGATTTATTTCACTTTGCAATAATGTCTTCAAGGTTGACCCATGTTGTAGCTTGTGTTAGAATTCTCTTCCTCTTTAAGGATGGATCATATTCCATTGTATGTATATATAATTTTTTGTTTATCCGTTCATCTGTTGATGAACATGGGTGTTGTTCTCACATTTAGAGTATTGTGAATAATGCTGCTATGAACACAGGTGCATCTACTCATGTTCCTAATTTCATTTTTTTATATATTACCAGCAGTGGAATTACGGGATTTCTGTGATAATTCTATGCTTCATGTTTTGAGGAGCTGCTGAACTGTTTTCCACAATGGTTGCACCATTTTACAATCCTGTCAGCAGTGCACAGTGGATCCAATTTCTCCATCTTCTCTTCAATACTTCTTTTCCGTTTTTTTTTTGGTAGCCATCCTAATGAATGTGGAGCCCATACCACATTTTGTAACACAGTTATAAATTTAGGAATTAGAAGTCCTGTCATCTCATTTAGTTCTAGTCTCTTATGTTCTAGAAGAAGCTGAAACCCAGAATGTTAAGTGACTTATCCCATGTCACCTATCAGAAGGGGGCTAGAACCATAGAACCTTGCCTATGTTTTATGGAGCCTTTTAGACATGGTACACAACACTAGGGGAAAAAAAGCACTTAAGCATCAGACTTGGGAATACATCAGAAGTGAAATAAAATCTTATGTGAAATTGAGATAGCAGTCTGACTTTGTACTCTCCTACCTTACGAAGTTAGACTGGCACCAGAAAAGTTGGTGAACCTCCAGAGCTTCAGTTTCCTGATCTATCAGATGCACATAATAATACTTGCCTTGTAGAAATTTTGAAAAGATTAAATTAAATTATTCAAAATCCTATATAGTCCTGTAGCTACTTAGACATTGAAAAAATATTCCTTCCCCCGCCAACATCTAGCATAATTTGGGATACATGTTAGGTGCTAAACCAACACTTACTAATTTGACTTGCTTTGACAACAGAGTCTAAAACTGCTTTAGGCTTCAGATTTCTTCTGGCAATTTATTTCCAATTTAGGGTGGGTGCTAACAAAAGGTCAGAGGAACAACAAAAGCAGATGGTCTTCCTGAAGCGTGTGCCAAAAGGATTTGTGAGTGTCTTGGAGTGACGTCTCCACCCATCGCAAGGCTTGGAGGCTCAAGGGCAGATCCCCAACATTGTACCGGTCCCTTCCTGAGCACTCCCTGGTGCAGACTCCAAGTCTGACAAGGAAAATGTGCTGTGATCATCGTACGGGGGACAGAGCAGCTGCTCCAAGGTGGAGTCTATTGTCAAGGTCCTCCTGGTAACAAAAAGAGGAAAAGGTCTATCAAAGCATTTCCTGCCCGCAGGAGCCACGTGCTTCCATTAATTCTTTTCCCTGAGTCAGTCTGTCTCCCTCAGCTCATGTCTCTCCATGTCCACTGTCCAAGGAAAAGAAAAGGCATTTTTAGCAGTTGATTTAAAAACCTTTCCACAAAGTAAGGTTAACAAGAGGAACAAGTTCAGATATTCAGTGGCATGCATCTATATATTTCATAAGGGAGCTGGCACTAAGAAAGGGTGGTTTATGGCAGTTACGATTTTTCAGAAATCTGCTCATGCCTTTCAACTGCTTTGGCACCGCTGTAGGTACCCGAGGATAAGAGAGACGCCTCCGCCATTCCTGCACCATCCATAAATTACAGAAAAACCACAGTCAATATTCTCTGAATATTACATTAGTAACATTCACATTACAGAAAAAATTAGCTAGTGATGGCAGTGAGTAAAAAAGTATTTCTGAATGAGTGACTGAGTTTGGCGAATCAAATTTGCTAGCCATAGGAGTCAATAAGAACATATTTCTGAATGCGTGACTGAGTTTCATGAACTAATCTGCGTCTTAGCTCAGGGAAGAAGGCCTGGAGTGTGACTCTCATGAATAAGGTAAAATGTGGTCATTTATAGTGTACCCTGTTCCAGAAAAGATAACATCACAAAGAAAGAGGATGGTGAGCATGGTGTCTACAGAGTAGAGAGAAAGATAGAATTTGACAAATGCTTATCCAGCACTGTTATGATGACAGCCTCTAAGTGCTAATATGGCAGATTGCAAAAAACGGTGGAAGAGAGTTGAGATGCCCTGGCTGGCCAATGACCTGCCAATCGGACAGATGAGTGAAGTCATCCTATGTCACCCAGCTACCAACTGACCACAGATGTCTGAAGGAGCTCAGCAGACAATGGCCCTGGCCAGAAGAACCCAAGCTAACCCACAGAATCATGAGTTAAATTGAATGCTTGTCATTTTAAGTTGCTAAGTATTGGGGCAGCTTGTCATGCAGCAATGTTGTAGTGGTCAGTGGCTAAGAGGTCTGTGCTGTGAAGCTAATCCTTCAAACCTTGCCAAAGCCAGGGAGAAATCATCTTCAAGACTCTTGATCTTGCTTGGCTTTCACTTATAAATTTTCCTCCTCCTTGGCACTTAAATTTTTCCCATGGATGAATAAATTAACGGTGCTAAGTTATTCATTTATTTATTTATTATGTTTTGAGACAGGGTCTCACTCTGTCACGCAGACTGGAGTGCAGTGGCATGGTCCTGGCTCACTGCAGCCTCAAGTTCCTGGGCTCAAGCAATCCTCCCCCCTCAGCTAGGCCCCCAAGTAGCTGGGACCATAGGCACGTGGCACCACACCCAGCTAATTTTAAATTTTTTTGTAGAGATGAATCTTGCTATGTTACCCAGGTTGGCCTTAAACTCCTAGGCTCAAGAAATCCTCCCACCTTGGCCTCCCAAAGTACAGAGGTTACAAGTGTGAGCCACCAAGCCTGGTCCTTGTTCATGTTGCAGGCTGTGAGTTTAGCTGGCATAAGTAAGTCTTCCCATCTCTCAACCACGGTGCCTAGAGTATTGAATTTCTGGTGTTTCTTAGCTGAAAAGCAGAGTTTTGAGTGGTTATGCCTCTGGCATGCACTTGTCCTGCCCAAGCAACCAGCTCTATCTTATTTGTGTGGAATTTTTACAAACCTCTCTAATAGCAAAAATGAGCCCCTAAAATTGAAAGAGAAAAACTTAACCAGTCTCTTATAGCTATTTAAAATTTTTTAAAGGTATAAAGGAATAGTAACTGAAATACTTATGAAATCTATTCAATATATACAGAATCCTGGTTTTGACGTCCCTCAAGGATGATGGAGAGTCCACATGCCAGGCTAGATAATCACTGAAGAATCCCAGGCCTCTTTGATCCTGTAAACAAGGTGAGGAGGTAGGTATCTTCATCTTCCAACTATATATAGAATGAAATGACGGCACTGGCTTATGTCTACTCAGTGCGATCATGTGATCATTAACAATGAAAAGTTAAAAACTAGACATTCAGATTGTTATTTTGGCTGCATGCTATCCCACCCTTGCTTGGCTAATTTATTTTAGTCAATTGATTTTATTAAGTTATTTTTCTGTGTCAAAGTAATAGGGTCTTCGGAGTTGATATGATATATATTTAGTAATTTTTTTTTCAAATTGAAATTAGATAACAGTCAATGGCATTTGATCTCCAACAACATAGTGCAGGGCTCTCTCTATTCCACCAAGATTCCCACACTTCTTGAATGCAGATTATGAAGCCTTCTAAACCCATTCTATTCATGCTGAAATTCTTACTATATAAGGTAAGATAGATAGAATTATTTTCGTGACCAGCACAGCCTTTTTCCTCGGATATCACTTGGAGATTTTAAACCTTCAGAGAATTGCTCCCTTCCCTCCTTTCACTCACCCAAATGAAATGCCCGGCACTGTGACATATGACCCTGAAGCTGGAAGGAGAATAGGAGAAAACAATACGAGAACTTGTTCACTTCCACTGAACATTTGAAGCCATTCCTGTATAATGAAAAGCAAACAAAGTTTTTAGAGGCAGAAATGCACCATTGCACAATGCCATTTCGACATGGCTCTTTCAGCATGAACTGTGGTTCATCCCCGGGTTCAGCTATTTAATACTAATGGAACACTGTTGACTTAGCCCTCCTTAGAGATGCTGAAGAGACAAAAAGAGTATAGATGCTGACTTCAGAGGTTAATAAACAAATACCTTATTTTTAAGGGATATTTTTGTGTTCATGTTCAAAAAACACTTATCAGGAACTTTCCCCATACCAGAGTCTGTGCAAGAAGTTTGTAGCATTCAACCACGAGTAAAGTGCTCTCCTGGTCCCCAAGGACCTTACCCTCACAGATATCATACTTAACTTGTGGGTGTTTTCACATATGTTGCCTTACGTTATGCTTACAACAAGCAAGAGAAAGAAATGCAAAGGTGTTATGAGCTGAACTCTGTTCCCCCAACCAAAATTTACATGTTGCGGTCTTAATCCCCAGTACTTCAGAATGCAACTGCATTTAGAGACAGGGCCTTGAAAGAGGTACGTAAGTTAGACTAGAGTATTTAAAGTGGGCCCAAATTCAATGGAACTAGTGCCCTTATAAGAAGAGGAGATTAGGATACAGACACACACAGAGGGAAGACCATGTGAAGACGCAGGGAGAAGATGGCCATGTACAAGCCAAGAAGAAACCAGCTCAGCTGACAGCTTGATCTCAGACTTTCCCCCTCCAGAACTGTGAAGAGGTAAGTTTCTGTTGTTTAAGCCACCCAAGCGGTGGTACCTTGTTACAGAAATCTTAGTAAACTAATTCAGAAGGTATTATTATCCCTATTTTATACCTGTTAAAGTGAGGTTATAAGACATTAAGTAATTTACTCAAAATTTGCACATACCTCATAAATGGCTGAGGCAGGATTAGAATCCAGGTCTTCATAAACCCTATAAACTCCTCTACGGATCTTTCTACTGCCTACCACGCTGTACGCACATCGAACTATCCCACTATCTAACAGCCAAGACCAGGGCTAGGAAAAATTAAGATGTTTTTCTTCAGTGAACTACCACCTTTGCTTGTTTTCTTCCTTATCAATTTCAGATGTTCTCTATCCTTGGTTTCAATCTTTCTGTTCTTCTGCCACTCTCCCTTTATGATTAAAACCACATGATCTCAGTGGAAGATATTTGCTGTTAGGAAGAAAGTGTTTTGTTAAATGCTGGTATTCTAGTTTATAGAAGTGACTGCTAGTGATAAGTGCTACCCATTCTTTTTTTTTTTTTTTTTGACAGAGTCTCACGCTGTTGCCCAGGCTGGAGTTCAGTGGTGCAATCACAGCTCACTGCAGTGTTGACCTCCCAGGATCAAGGAATCCTCCCACCTCAGCCTCACCATGCTTGTATTTTTTTGTAGACAGGGTTTTGTCATGTTGCCCTGGCTGGTCTTGAACTCGTGAGCTTGAGTGATCCTCCTGCCTTGGCCTCCCAAAGTGCTGGGATTACAAGCATGAGTCATCATGCCCAGCCTAATTCTTACTTTTTAAAAGGCAAATTCTCTGGACTAAGAAATGAATCTCCATAATAGCAGGCAAGTGGTAAATATATTTAGGGGGAGATAGCCCTTACATTCTTTGGGAAAATGTGTTTTCATTGATGCAACTGTATGCTTTATGGGAGCCTAATGGGAGTTAGATAATGATATGATCATTCTGAGTTGGTAAGATTTCTTAAAACAAATACAATTTAGAGTAAAATAAAAATAATGGTATTATTTGAATTAGAGATAATAGGAATAAGGTATTCCACAATAAAGTCCTAGTCACATTTTGCTGCAATTGTTCAGTCCGAAAGGTATCGAGGCCTGCAATATGCCTGGGGACACGTGGATGAACTGAAATGAGCCATGTCCTCACGCCGTGCACAGTTTGTGATTTTAATCTGGGTCAGTGCTTCTCAATATGACTGAGCAGCAAAATCACCTGGGGAGTGACTGAAGCATGGAGCTAGCAGGTATCCAGCCCCAGAAACTCTGAATCACTAAGTCCAAAGGCCTGGATTTTTAAAAGTCCCCAAGGAGACTGTGATAAGAGTAGGCCTGGAAACAGTTGCACTGCCCTAGGTACTCTGCAATGTCAGGGGAAGATGGTCCTCACACACAGCATTTCAGACACTGTGGCTGCCAGTACACTTCAGGATCCCTGGGCTTCTCTGGAATCTTTCAGATGATAAAACCTGGACATAAATAATGAACATAGACAAATTGCAAAAAAATTAAAAGGAAAGGTAGTGGTAAGAAACAGAAGCTTTCTTTCTGGTCAAACATACATGTATCAGGGTAGATAAATATCAGATCGAAATTCAAGACAGAAAAATCCCAGAATGAACTAATAAACAAAAATACATACTGTAATTATTCTCCTCAAAATATATTTATTTTTGGAGGGTATCTGTATTAGTCTGTTTTTACACTACTATAAAGATACTACCTGAGACTGGGTAATTTATAAACAAAAGAGGTTTAATTGACTAACAGTTCCACATGGCTAGGGAGGCCTCAGGAAACTTACAATCATGGCAGAAGGTGAAAGGGAAGCAAGGCACATCTTACATGGTGGCAGGAGAGAGAGAGGTCAGGGAAACTGCCACTTTTAAACCATCAGCTCTTATGAAAACTCTCTCGCTATCACAAGAACAGCATTGGGGAAACCCTCTCCATGATCCAATCACCTTCCACAGGTCCCTCCCTCAACATGTGGGGTTACAATTTAAGAGGAGATTTGGGTGGGGACACAGAGCCAAACCCTATCAGTATCATTTTCAATTAATGACAGAATTAATATGGTAAGACAAATTCTAACTAATGCCATGAAATCAAACCGTCTTTCTTGGTCTTTATATTGTGAAGTGCTACCAACAGAAGAGCCAATGTAACATAAGAAATGGTTCCATATATCTCATGTTCTTTGTAGTTGACTGTAGAGCTTTGTACAAATACCTAGTCCTAAAAACAATGCCTGGAGAGTTTGGGATCAAGAATTTCTATTTTTAAAACTTTACAGATGAATACAATTCTCACCAACAGTGGAGACTGTCTCATTGACTCTGTCATTGCTTGGCTATGGAAGAGATAATCAAAATCTTGACAGCCAGCCAGCCCTGGCACAGGCACCAACCACCCAGAATGGAGGCAGGCTATTAAAAAGCACAAGTATATGTACAAAAAGTAATTTTCCTCACATTGTGCCTTCAGCAACCACTGGCTAAATATGAAAACTTTTAAATTAGGCCTTTATCATACTTAAGAGAAATTCCTATCATATATGGAATACCAACTGGTCCAGAAAAAAAATCCTATCACGTAAAATGGCACAGTTGCTATTTCCCATTGATGTAGAATATAAGAGCTGATAAAGGTCACAGACATCATCCATCTGGTCTAGATGTTTTTTTTTTTTTTCCTTACAGATGAAACCCAGAGATAAAAAAGGAATTTGTCTAAGTCAGGGTCGGGAAAAACCCCAGAATTCCAGGCTCAGTCTGGGGTTGTTTGCTCAACACGATGCTATTGTCCACACATGAGGAAAAAAAAGCTCAGGGAAAAAAGCTGATATGCTCCTGGTAGGACTATGTATCTCTAGTGTGTGTGTGTGTGTGTGTGCGCGAACGCATGACTGTGTGCGTGTGTGTGCGTATGTGTGCATGAGTATGTGCATGAGTATGTGCATGTGTATGTGTGTGTGTGTGTGTTCTTGCTTTTGTGTGTGTCGGGAGTACAGAGGGGAGAAAGCAGCTACACTAAAAGTCTTCTGATTACTCATCCACTTTTAATTGAAACAACAACAACAACAACACTGCTAAACCTTATTGGGACAGGATGCTTATTTCCAAAGCTCTGTAACATAGTTTTGCCAATACTTTGCTGAACCATATCCACTGTCAGTGTGTATAGACATTGAAATAGAACACATTTGCGTTACCCATGATAATCACTTAAAATATCTGGAAACTGTTTGCAGAAGAGTTTTTCAAGAGAAAAAGAGCTTATAACCATTTATTTATAATACTTGTTAAATAATAAGACTCATTATAAGGATCAGGTGTAGTCATAATTTCTTAAATATTTAATTAGGCAATATATTAGTTGCTGTTTCCACAACCTGGCCTCACGATGCTTTTCTTCATAATCTTTTACTTCTGTTTTGTCTTCAGCTGCCACATTGCTGCCCATTGTTATTGAACTGCAACCTCTATAGCTTTTCATTCAGTGTGAGGCTACAGAGTTCTGCAGAATCTAAGTCCAACTGCTAGATGGTGTATTATTTTTCAAGCTATTAACTGTATCTTTTCTTAGGACCCAATACACAGTAGCTAGACAGTAAATGTTACTTATCTATTTAAAGCTCTTAATGTTTCTCTATTACCTCCAGAATAAAATTAATACTTACACTTGTCATTTAAGGCCCAGCTGCCTTTCTTTTTTTCAAGATGGAGTCTCACTCTGTAGCCCAGGCTGGAGTACAGTGGTGCAATCTTGGCTCACTGCAACTTCCGCCTCCCAGGCTCAAGTGATTCTCATGCCTCAGCCTCTCAAGTAGCTAGGATTACAGGCACGCACCACCACACCCTGCTAATTTTGGTGTTTTTTAGTAATTTAGTAGAGACGGGGTTTCATCATGTTGGCAAGGCTGGTCTCGAACTCCTGACCACAAGTGTTCTGCCTGCCTCATCCTCCCAAAGTGCTGGGATTACAGGCATGAGCCACCGTACCTGGCCCTGGCTCCCTTTCTAATTATTAGTTGGGAATGCTTAGGCCTCTAGTCAGACTGAACCGCCTGCAGATTTTCAAAGACTTTTTCCTGCCTCCTTGTCTTTGCAAACGCTATAGGCATAGACTGAAATAAATTTTTTCCTCTCAACTCCCCCAGCTCCTACTTTCAAACAGGGAAAATTCTCTGTGGAATTTGCTAGGGTCTCCTCCAACTGGGTTAGGCCTACTCCAATTCTCCTGCTACTCCCCAAACACACATTCAGACATATAGACACGCACACACACACACATGCACAAGCACACACGCACACACAATACAAACACACACACGCATGCACACACACACAATTCCTGCCTTCTGCTTCCAGAGCGTTCTGTCTAAACTCCCATCACACTTCTCACTGTGTGATACCCTTTTAAAAACCACCTCTGTTCTTCTGATATGGAGAACCAGGATCCATCCTGGCCATGGAGGCTCCCACATATGGGTGCTTACTATATTTTTGTTTCATGAATGGGTAAGATACAAATGCTGCCCCGCCCCCCACACCCCCAAGGTGAGACCAGGAGTTCACTAAATAATCTGTTCCGCTGGGAATTCATACAGGCTCTGCTGAGAAACCCTCACGTGGAGTATAGAAAGGTCAATGAAATACTCTGAAAAAACATACAATCCCCAGACCATGGCTTCATTATCAGTTTACTAGCAGATGAAACTTTTCCAAGGGAATGTCAATTGCATGCCCTGGTTGCCCTCTGATGATGAGAAAAACATAGTCAATCATACACCCTGGACCCCTTTCTCAGAAAACCCTCTCTGCTGGACAAGCCCTCCTTTGCTGTGGGCCAAGGGATGAACTGAATGAATAAAATATTGAACCCATGGTTTCTGAGTTCCCTCAACGAACGAACTAAGACTCAACGCCTTGACTGCCTAGAAGAGAGCTTACATGTGACCTTGTGTTCCAGGGTGCTAATACAAGTGTTATTTTAACCGCAGCCTTGAAAGCCTACATCTAAGCACATCCTTGATACAATTAAAACTATTAAACTAAGACACTCTCCTCAGGTAGCACATGTAACAAATAAATAGACAAACATACCCAGATCAGATAAAAGTGATTCTTCAGAGGCCAGGCTTTCCTGTCTTCATGACTGTCTAACATAGAAGTAATCGTTACTTAAAAGAAAAAGAGAAGCTTCATTTCTCCTAAAGAACCAGTATAGCCTAGTGGCTAGGAATGAAGGCCAGAGTTCCTGGATTTGATTTCTGGAGTTATTAGCTGTGTGTCATTGACCAGGTTACTGCACCTCTCTGTGCTTCAGTTTTATTACTAGATTACACACACACATGCCCTTAGTATTTACATCATGGCACTAATTAAGTGATGTATTAATAATACACACACAAAAAAAACACTTAGAAAATTGTCTGACTGATAGTAAACACTCAGTGAAAGTTATTATTATGATCTAAAGATACAAACATGATTAATGAGCCATTTAATCTTTGCTGCTTTTATTTCTTCAATTATAGTGAGATGTCCTGAGATATATTTGCTTATCCTCGTGCCATAAATTTCTAAATTGAGCTAATCCTCTCTGTTCTAATGATGTTTATTTTCACCTCACATTAAATAATAAATGTATTATGAAGCTAAAAATCATCCTTATGCAATTAAATTGATTCCAACTTTTGTTCTCCACGAATGGAAAAGACAACATGTTTGTGATAATCCAGTGGATGTGTTTTTATTCTCCATACCATTTGGAGTGCATCTAAATTGCTTTTTAATTTGTCTCCCATGTTACAGCCTTGAAATCAGAAAATAACGTAATATACCATAAGAAAACAATTTAATACATGCTAATGTGAAGAGAAGAAGATATACTTTGTACCCTGTTGAAAACAACAGTGGCAGAGTAAATAGTTCTGAGTATGTATAATACACTTAACCCTTGAACTACATTTAGCATCCAAGAGGTGCTTCCATTTTGGAATTGAAAATAAAAAATTTCACTGATGGGCCCTATCAGGAGAAGGAAGTGATTTCTCGCATATGCAGCGAACATTAAGAAAGCTCAGTTCACAAGGATGGGAAAGTAGGGTCGTGGAGCAGGGGGCCTCTTTACAGCCTTCTCTTTCATCCTCCCGGAACGCAGCACAGGGAAATTTCTGTGGAATTGTCTAGGACGTCCCCAGGCTGGGCTAGGCTTCCTCCAATTCTCCTGCTACTCCCCAAACCCTTCTTTTGTTTATAACTTTTTTTGGAGTTATGGCTGTCTCTATAAATCTCATGAAAATTATCAATATTCCTCCTAGTAAAATGCACACACACACACACACACAATTTTGCAAATTAATGCATCATCTTCCTGAATGATCTCTTGGAAAGAGCTCCTTTTTAATAAAGTGGTTTGCATTATCTTCAGTGAATGAGTAAATTATTTTGAACATAGAATTTCAAAAATCTATTTGAACATAGAATTTGCCATTTGATTTTCTTTTTAGAAACATAGTATTTATAATCCTGACTTGTAACCCTCCCAGCAGATCTGAGGTAGTTCACTTCTTTTGACTTATTGTGATCAGCATTTTGACAAACACTTTAGGTGTTTCTAAAATGCTTAACTTCTGGAAAAATTTTATTTCTTTTTGTTAGGAAAGCATAGCAAGCATTTATGTATGCTGTCCTAGAAATATTTGGTTATAATTTTAATGGGAAATAAGCAAAGAGATAATATTATTTCTATATTTGTTGCTATTAACACACAGAATCTTGGTCATCATTCAGACTCTAAGCCCAAAACATATTGCTTGGGAGAAATGGATGTACACATGTACATAGCTACTGTAATCATAGAAGACATTTTTCAAAAGTATGAAGAGAAAGAAGTCTTTTAAAACTCATCCTTAATGGATACATAAATAGCAATGCCAAGGAGTCAATCTATCAATTTCTATATCTATATTTTATATTTTAAGATTGAGACAGAGAAATTTCCCAGGTATTTGATGTAAGAATTTGTTTTGAAAAAGTTTGGTAATTAATATAAAGCTACTCTAAAATTAACTTTTATTGTTAGAGACACATCTTTAGAAAAGTTTGTAACTATCAACACTTACCATCTTATTTTTTCCTTTGAAACCAAACATCACAGACCAAAAGCCACAAAGTTGATAATAATTTATTATTGTTGCATGACATTTGCCAGTAAAATAAATTATAGAAACTATAGCGTCTTTATAAACTATTTGGTATCTCATATTCACTTTCTAATGCTTACTGCAGTAACTGTATGAAATTTAATTAGATTACATTTTAGCATTAGTCAGAAGATTTAAAAACTATATAAAATGTTTTCACAGTACTTTGGATTTATAAAAGACCCCATTATTTTAACTTTTGTGCAACCTGTTTGAAGTGTATAAAAAAACCTTTTACAAACCAAAAGGTGGCGTATGGTTTTACAGAGCTGCTGAAGGCATCTTACGTTCTTGAATTTGTGCTTAACATCCATGTGGTGCACTTTTTCAGGCATTGTAATAAGTGCAAATAAGTAATCAATTATTGATTTCTAAAAATCTATACCAATAGACAACATTCAGGCTTGGTTTTGAGCATTCAGATATAAAAATTCCGTAAACAATTTATGCACGGTATTTTCTCTCCCTGTCCTCCCTCTCCCTCCTCCCTTCCCCTATCTATTTGGTTAAAAAAAAAAAAAAAAAAAAAAGAAGTTCAGCTTAAATTTAAGTCCTAGGGCCTGACAAAGTGACCCCGGATATATGTCATCTCCAGCCATCTGTTTCCTTTAGTTCTCATTACATCTGTCCAGGCTCTTCTATCAGCATCAATCCTTTCCTGCAGGGACAGAAGAGTTTTCATATCCTTGCTGAAAGCATTTTGTTCTCCACTGTAACAGCATGGGGCGTGACATTGTTTGGAGTCTTTGTAACCAGTCTGTTCAGTCCTGGTCTCCTTCCAGTCCCGGTCCCTTTCCAGCCTCTGGAGTCCTGACAGAAGAGAAGCTTGCAAGGTAGCAGCAAAATGCTGCATCTGTTAGAATCTCACAAACTCACTTGGTCTTTGAATGTCCGTTCTTGGATAACATCTTTATCCATTCTCTTCTCCTCAGTGAACTTTGATGGAATATTTCCGCAGATTCAGAAACTGGAAAAGCTTGTCTTTTGTCCTCTTCTTCAAGGCCATCAGGGCACGTGTTTTCTCCTCCACATCTTGATCTATGGCAAAAATGATCTTGGCTCTCTCCTCTGCTTTCTTGTCTCCAGAGTTTCTGAAGAGCCTTTGTAGTGATTCTTGGTCTATGTTTTCAAAGATGTTGCCCACGGCTTTCTTACGAGAGGCTGTGTCGAAGTGGTAGCCGTGGATGGACGGGCTGACTCGTAGCGACGTGGACATGATGATGGCTTGGTGGCTTCGCTTTGCTTTCATCGATGTGGGGATCTTCCGGAATTCAGCTCCCAGGCTTTCCAGAGAGTCTGTAGTGAAATCATTCTGGGACTGCTATTTAAAGTGTGAACAAAAGCTCCAGGCTCAAATTACACTGGTGACATCAGAGTGATCTCAAGGAAGAATAATCACAGAAAGGCTTAACAGTTGAGTTGCCAATATCCTGTCCTTGTGTAAAACGTTACTAAAAGCTGTGTTCAGTGATTAGGGGCAGGGCTGTGAGTATTCGTTTTACTTCTTATGTGGCAGTAGGATAATATAGACCTGGGCCTTCCTTTAAGAAAATAGCTGAAGACAGGAAAATACAAAGATAAGACGTAAACAAGGTTGCTTAGACTCTCAAATCTTCCCAAACGACAGTTAGAACAAGGGGTTCTGCTAACCACAGGAAAGCTTTCATTCCCAGAGAAGTAATTAAAGTGTACTGCAAACACTTGGCAGTCCACATCAGTGCCCTTTGGACGTCCATATCAGGGGCAACTCCAGAGCTACTGAGAGAAAGTTGAGTAATCAAGGATAATAATTTGGCATGTGATCAATTCCAGGACAGGAGTTTACATACAAAACGCTGACATGACACAGCTTGAAATGCTGACTTTTTGGAGATTGTGTATAAGCGCTAAGTGTCGCTGAAGACAGTTGTAATTTGAAATGTAGTAATCATATGAAGAGTAGAGGCTATCTCCTTAGGCTTGTGTATACATCCACAACAATAGCTATCAAAAAAGCCAGCAGGAAAAGTTAATCGAGTGTTTTACGTGCACCATGCCCGAAATGAATGAGGTGATCTTTTGTTTTCAAATTGATTTTGGCATTACCCAGACATAGAGCAATAACTTCTTTGGAAGAATATAAATGTGTTCTTCCTGCCTTTCACAATATTCAAGCCAGCCAGTGTCCCCACTGACCTCTGGAGTTGTCATATGCTAAATGTGAGCTTCAAAGGGTCCTGGAGAGTCTCTTTGTGGATCTTGTGCCTGGTCCACTTTCTAGTCATTTAAGAAAGTCCTTTAAGAAAGAAAAGTCCTTTAAGAAAGAAAAACAGGTCTTTTTATTTTTCTTTTTATCTAGTCAAGTAAGATCTAGAAAATGCACAAAGGGAGACACAGTGGGGAAGGTACCTCACTAGGAAATTGAGTTAGAGACTCTCCTTATATTTTCTTCATTCATTCACTCACTCACTTATCCACTCGTTTATTTAATCGATATTTATTAAAAGTGTGTTATTAGCCAGAACTTTTCGAGGCATTGGAAATGAAACAGTAAACCAAACAAAACCAACCAAACCAAACCATGCAAAGAATCCCTTTTTTACCTTAATGAAGTGTATGTTCTACTGGGAAATAGACAATAGAAACATACATATTCAGGCACAGCTTCTTGTAATGAGACATTGTGCAAAGACTTGATGGAGGTGAGAGAGGCAGTCAGCTGTGTGGATATCTGCAGGAAGGGTGCTGTGGGCAGAGGAGTAAGTGCAGAGGGTTGAAGAAAAGAGTGTGCAAGGAGTATGGAGAACAGCCAGGGACCAGTGTTGTCAGAGCAGAGTGACCAGGGCAGAGTGGGAGGAGATGAGGTAACGGCGAGTGGTAGGCAGTGGAAAGAGGGCAGGAGCAGGCTGTGTGCAACCTCACAGTCTTTGATTGTGGATTTAGCTCGTAGGCTGTAGGAGACAGGTAGGCTTTGGAGAATTTGGAGCAGAGAAATGGCATGATTTTCCTTATAATTTTAAAAGATCACTGACACGTCTTAGGAGAGAATAGATTTCGGGGAAGCAAGCAGGGAGTGGGGAGCAGGAAGACTAGTCAGAAGATGTTCAAATAATCCAAGAAAGAGAGGATGAAAGTTTCCACTAGGGAGAATGTGGAAGTAGTGAGAACTGATCCAATTCTGGCATATTGTGAAGGTAAAGCTGAGAGGATTGCTGAAAATTTAGATGCGAGGAATGAATGACAAATCAGCCCAGGCTGATTTCTTCTGAAGGATGCCTTCTTGAAAGACATTTCTAGGTGTGCCAGTGTTCAACTCTCCAACCATGCAACTGATGTGTGTTCCAGTTTTTCCAAGGGCTCCAGAAGAACCCTTTGTTCTGCTGTCTATGGCTATGGATTTTATAGGCCTATATAGCACACTTTTGTGGCAGCATCATTTCCCCTGCTAAATTAGAAAAAATTATTATTATGGCAACAAGGATTTACTGAACTTTTATTATGTGCCAAGCAGAGGACAAGGGATTCGCAAAACCCCTCTTAATTATTGTCATAACTCAAGGACTTATCAATCTTTTTTTTTTTTTTTTTTTTTGAGACAGAGTTTCGCTCTTGTTGCCCAGGCTGGAGTGCAATGGCACAATCTTGGCTCACCGCAACCTCTGCCTCCTTGTTCAAGTGACTCTCCTGCCTCAGCCTCCCAGGTAGCTGGGATTACAGGCACGCACCACCATGCCCAGCTAATTTTGTATTTTCTTTTTAGTAGAGACGGGTTTTCACCATGTTGGTCAGGCTGGTTTCGAACTCCTGACTGCAGGTGATCTACCTGCCTCGACCTCCCAAAGTGTTGAGATTACAAGTGTGAGCCACTGTGCCCGGCCTCAATCTTCTTATATTATGTTCTTTCTTGAGGTGATTCTTATGTGGGCTCATGCTTTTTCTGATACCCTATTTATTGATTACTCCTAAATTTTGATTCCTGCCTAGCCCTGGCCCCTGAAGTGTAGACTCATTTATTTATCTAACTAATCAATACAAATATATAAAAATATGGTATACATATTCATTCTGTTATAAAATAAACCTTGCTATGATCCTTAATAACTCCCTTTCTTTCTCTCCCTATACATAATCTATGGCCAAGTTCTGTCAGTTCTATCTAGAAAATGTTTCCCAAAGCCATCTACTTTCTCCATTTTCATTGCCATTTATGCCAACCCTTCATATGGTGGATGCTGTGATGCATGATCCAGAACTCCCTTTAAGATTTTCCCAGGTGCTCAGCTATCAGCCCGCTTTAGGGACTGCCACTACTGAAGAAGCTTACATCACCTAAGGTTACCCTTTTTCCCTTCCAGGGGCAGCTATATCCAGTGACTGATCCACATGGTGGTGTAAAATCCTGCTCTCCTTGTCCATGTCAACTCTAAGGGGTCATCTAACCTTCAGAACACCTTTCAGGGTAGGCTGAGATCTCCCTCTGTCCAATCTTGCATCTTTCCCATCTTCAGGCATTGATGCTGACGGCACTCCACAACCAGTCACCTGCCGCTGATCCGCATCTCAGAGTCTGTTTCCTCGGGACCCCAGCCTAAAATATTCTATCATCTCTCGCTAGACTAAAACCAAATAACTAGCTTTCCTGGCATTCCTGATTTCCCTCTTGCCCCAAGTTCCCTGCACAGCACCCAGAGCCATATTTCCTAATAAGCGCTCTGATTAAATCACTCTTGCCGTAAACTTTGCATGACCTCTTTGAACATGACCTGCTGTGTCTTTATGCTTTCAAATTCCTTGGATACATCACATTCATTCCTGCTGTAAGGATTTGCATATCTTTCTCCTTTTCTAGAATGTTATTTTTAAATACTTTTTATCTCAGGTATGGAATTATATAAGTATGTATAAATATATATATATAAAGTATATATATTTATGTATTTTTTATTTTATGCTTTATTTTATATATATACAATAACTTTTTGTCTCAGGTAGGTAATTCCTGGTTGCTCATACAATCTCAACTAAAAGCTACTTGCTCAGAGAGACTTTCCTAATTCTTGCCAACATACCCATTACTCTTCCTTAGTAGCACTTTTTATTAGAGTTTGCAAACATACATCTATTTGGGGGATTACTCATTCAAAGGCTCTGTCAAGAGCAGGGATTGGATCTACCTTTCTCACCATGTTCAAAGTTCCAAGATAACTTAATAAAAGGATTGTTTTTATAGTAATGTTAAATGACAGCATACGCAATTATATTTAATTCTCCTAACGACCCTTTGCAATAGGAACTATTGCAGTTCTGAAGTCAAAAATAAGAGAACTGAGGCGATAAACAATCTATTCCCTGTAATAAATGGAAGGATGGCTCCATAAGATGTCCATGTGTTAATCCCTGAAATTTATGAATATCAGCAAATGGGAACTGTAAACAGCAAAAGAGATCTTGCAGGTATGAACAAGTTCAACATCTTCAGATGTGCAGATTTAGCTGGGATTATCCGGGCAGCCCATGTAATCATGAGTTCTTACAAGAGGGAGTCAGAAGGTCAGAAAGGAGAGAAGATGCTGGGTTATTGTCTTTGAAGATGGAGGAAGGAGCTGTGGCACAGGAATGTGGACGGCAGTTAGAAACTGGAACAGACAAGGAAACAGATTCTCCCCTAGATCCTCCAGAAAGAACAGATTCCTGCAGACCCATTTGAGACATCTGGCATTCTAAACTATAAGATAATAAATTTGTGTTGTTTGAACTCACTAAATTCATGTCAGTTTTTTACGGCAGCCATGGGAAAATAATATACTCCCCTCTCCCTTCAGCTATAAGACAACCTGAAGCCAGGGCTACTTGACTCCAAAGTCCATGATCTTAAACTCTATCCTGCATTGCTTTCAAATTAGCTGCAAGCTCTGTCTTCAGAAAGTCTGGATTATATTTTTACATGACATTGAACAGCTCTCCTTGAGTACTGCCTACAAGCATTCAGATGAATTTGAGAGATTAAGGAGTTTCAAAATTGTTTAGAGGACAAGACCGTCTGCAGGAAAACAATGTCAGTTTGTTTCCCAGAAATGTGACACATGCCCTAAGGTTACGATTTGCTGATGTTTTTTGCCAAAGTGGACTCTATGTATGCTAACTCTATGTATGCTTGGAAGGGTGTTTCCTGTTGCCATCCTGTTCTTTCCCTTCTTTGTATAAATATTTTCAGTGAATGATGTGGATAACAGGATCTAAAAAGATATTCGCAAGATTCACAAATTGCATGTGGACACCTTATAGAATTGTGCTTTCTGCAGTAAAGACAGAAGATAATGAAGGCTGCTTAAAAGAAGCAGCTTCTGGTCTAGCCTATTTTCTTCCAGGCATCAGTTTTCCTGTTTTTGTTCCTTATACCAAGAGATTTTGTATCTATTTGTGAGCAATAAATGAGCCTCCTTAGTTTTGTGTCCAATGAAGAGATTTGAGAAAAAAACATAAAGAAGAAAACAAAAATTCATTAAGTGACTCGTATACCTGGT